AATAATAAAATATTAAAAATAATGATTTTATTATATTGAGGGGGTTGTAGATGTGGGTATGGGTGTACACCTGGTAGAGGTCAGAGGACAATTTGTAGAATGGATTCTCTCCTTTCACATTATGGGTCCTAGGAACTGAACCTCAAGTCATCAGGCTTGGGAACAAGTCTCTTTATCCATTGAGCCATCTCACAAATGCACATTTAAAACTCTTGGTTGAGTGTCTCTATAATTAGGTATTAAGATGCTTTTCAATATGCTTAATAAACAAAAAGCCTATTGTAAAAGATATACACATTATCCAAAGATTCATACAAATATCACTAACGAATGTATTATTACTTTGGTAATAATTATTTAAAAGTTTACTTTTTTATACCAGATACCTGCAAAGAATAATGAAGAACTTGACAAGCAAAACTGACAGTTCTTGTTGCTGTTCCTCTAACCCATCTGCTGTCTTCTGAACACAATGTAGGAGTTGGATCCTCAAAACCTGAAGAATATTATCAGGAAGCAGAGATATTCCTGGAGGCACATCATCTACCCTGTAAGATAGAGGCAAGAAAATTAAGAGTGGTGAAATTTAACGTGAAAAACTCAGGCCAACAAGATGGCTCAGTGGGTAAAGGTGTCTACCACTAAGTCTGACAACCTGAGTTCAACCCCTGGGACCCAGATGGTGGGGAGCACCAAGTCCATCAAGTTGGCCTCTGGCCTACACACAAACCATGTCATTTAACCTCCACCTCCAACACTCACACAGTAAATACATGAAACCAAAAATAGAAGAACTCTGGCACTTTAATCAACTGCATTTTGACACCAGACACTCTTTTATTATGTCCATATGTTCTATGCCTTTTCGTCCTCAAACCATAACCAGATGATTCAAACTAGGTTATTAGAAGAGAATGCTTAGTGTTATTTCAGGGAAGAGGAGACTAATATTTTTAATTGTTCATTTTTAGTGAAAACAGAATTAAAATTGATTCATTTTCTATTTAAGATTATACATGTATATATCCTATTTGTAAAAAAGTTATTTCAACTAATGAAAAATGAAATAAAATAACTATTTAATACTTGATATCTACATTACTTCACACTAATGATCTACCTTATAGATTGTGTTCAGAAGAGGGAGAAAAGATAATCAAAAAAAGAATAAAGACAGACCCCTAAATATGATCAATAGGTATTTCTTAATTATTACAGTTTGACAAGTGGTTTCTATGTTTTCTTTGTGCGTGTGTGTGTGTGTGTGTGTGTGTGTGTGTTGTATTCATGTGTGCACATGTGTGCAGGAGGCCAGAGGTTGACTCTAGATATATTCCTTTATCACTCTCTCCTTCTTTTTTGAGAAAGGGTCTTTCACTAACATACAGTTTCGGCTAGACCGGATGGCCAGTGAGCTCTGGGGTTCCACCTATCTCAACCCCCCATTGCTGGGGTTATAGGCACACACTGCTACCCAGTTTATACAGGTCTTCATGCTTGCAGAACAACCACTTTATTCAGTGACCCATCTCCACAACTCTATTTTTTTTTTAAGGCAAAATCCAACATCAGATGTTAAGGGGCACCTCTGTGTCTCTCTTAAAAACCCTCGGCTAGATTCAAAATCTAAAGATCTAGGTGCTGGGGCTGCAGAGATGGCTCAGCGGTTAAGAACACTGGCTGTTATTGCAGAATATCTGGGTTTGAATCCCAGCACCCACATGGCAGCTAACAACTGTCTGTAACTAAAAGGACACATTCGGGGGCTGGAGAGATGGCTCAGCGGTTAAGAACTCTGGTTGTTCTTGCAGAAGACCCGGGTTTGAATCCCAGCACCCACATGGCAGCTAACAACTGTCCATAACTCCAGTCCCTGGGGATCTGACAGCCTCTTCTGACCTCCGCAGGCATTGCATGACAGGGGCGCACTTACCTACATGCAGGCAGTACACGCATATACATAAAATAAAAATAATAAATAAAATTTTTTTTAAAAAAAGATCTAGGTGCTAAATCCCACCTCTATAACATGGAGTGGTCATTTAGTCTCTGACATTTTCTAATACACAAAATTTGAATATGTGTCCTATTATAAGGGCTCTGAACCCATAAGTCAATATGCAGTTTTTTGTTGTGAAATGTGCAACTATGAAATGTTATGGGAGCTTCATTGATGAGAGTTGAAAGATGCATTAGTGGTCTCTTTATCACTTGTTCTATGTTCCGTGAGCCTTAGGTATAGAGGTTGCATCCTGGATGTGCCACTTAGGCTTGGGCAACTCACAGAGAATCTCTGTGTGTAACCAATGGTGTAACTCTAATAATCTCTATCTGTTGAAAAAGAAGCTACTTTGATGGGTGGTGACTGGGATACTTGTCTGTAAATTTAAGACTCCATATTTGTACATAGTAAGAAATTACATTTGTCTCCCAGCATGTGGGAGGCAGAGGCAGAAGCAGGTGGATCTCTGTGAATTCAAGGCCAGCCTGGTCTACATAGTGAGTTCCAGGCCAGCTGGGGCTACAGGGAGACCCTCTCTCAAAAAGACCTAAAAAAGAAAAAAGAAAGAACATGAGAGCCTTGGGGTTTGTGCTGGATAGCTTTAGTGTCAACTTGACACACCTGGGTTGAGGGAGCCTCAATCGGGAAATTGTCTCTATTGGACTGGCCTGTGGCCATGTCTGAAGGGCATCTTCTTGATGGGTGATGTGGGAGGGCCCAGCCCACTCCAGGTTCCTGCCCTGAGTTCCTACCTTGGGCTCCCTGATGAACTATGACCTGGGAGTTGTAAGACAAATAAACCCTTTCCTCCCCAAGTTGGTACTGGTCAGAGTGTTTTGTCACAGCAATAGAGAACAAACTAAGACAGGGTTTTTCCAAAGATCTATGACCTCTCCAGCTCTGTGTATTTGGTTAGGTTTACAGTACTAGTTCACTCCCATTGAGTGGGCTTTAAGTCCAATTAGGCAGCTGTTGATTACTCCCAAAATAAAAGTGTCACTACTACACCAATGCCGTTTGCTGTGCTGGATACTAATGTGGTTTTCAAGCCTTGAAACTAGGGGTGGACCATCAATTGATGTTCTCCCTTACCAGCTTTCATAGGTGCTCTCCAAAGCTACACGAGCTAGCCTTCAGGGGAGGTGGCTCCCTGGTCAGTTCCAGCTACATTTGCTCCAGATCCTGTGTCCAAAGGCTGTCCCATCTTCACCAACAAGGTCTTACAATCAAGTTCTGGGAGGCAATCAAGGACTGTGGCAGTAGCCTGTGTAATTTTGGGAGTCTCTTGAACTACCCTGGCCAACAACTCAAAGGAAGGTTTCTCCTGCCTGGCACTGTTTCTTGCTATGTAAGCTCAGCTATACCCACGGACTCATGTAGGAATATTGTATGTGTAATTTTTCAGTAGGTTTCTGGACTAATACAATTCCCTCTGTTGAAGGGGAGGGAGTGGGCATGGATTTGATCAAAACACCTTATGTGCATGTATGAAATTCTCAATAAATTATTTTTTAATTCCCTGTTTTTTTATACTAGCTAGGCACAATTTAGTTCTCCTCTTTCTCTCCCTGTCTTATCCTCTTTCCCCACCCTCCCCATTTAAAGTGTCCCCATTTTCCCCATTTCTCCTTTGATAGTTTCTGTATGCTATGGTCCCACCTCTATTGAGCACTTTCTTCCCCTTTATTCCCATAGATCTTTGTATAGGCCTCCTTACCCCCTCCCCTGTAACTACTCCCTTTTTACATATTGCTCCCTTAGTGTTGTATGTTTTAAGCACAGTATTAATTAAAATCTAATAATCTTTTCATAAGCCACTCTATACTAATTTCTCTATTACTATGAAAATACACAAATCTCAAGAAATTTTCAGTAATAATTTATAATAGTATAAACTTCAAATAATGTTTAATATGAATAACTACTAGTTTTACACTGAGTATAAGGCTTTTTGGTTCAATACAGACAGAATACATACACACATATATGATAAGTATAATTAGCTTCTTTCTGAATTATTCTACAAAACCAGTAAGGAATAAGTTTCAACTCATATGCCTCTATTTTAAGTAATGTGTGTCTGGTACAGAGCTTCAAAAACCATAGGAATTTCCTGAATAACAGGAATATTCTTGTTATTCATAACCAGCCCCTTTGGACTACATCTGAATTTATGCAAATGAAATAACTCAGGGTGGAGTCTTAGAGAAGCTGGTCACATGAGAAAGACCAACCCTGACAATGAAATTCATTATTTTGTACAAGTAATATATGGCAATAATATTTTTTTAAAAAAAAAGATGGGGTGAGCTAGCCTTGTTAGCACAAGAGGACCTGAGTTTAAGCACCAGAACCCACATTAATATATAGATAGATAGATGGGTGAATGGATGGATGGACAGATAAATTAAATAAATAAATAAATAAATAATAAATAAATAATAAATAAATAAATAAATAATCAGTCAATCAATCAATCCAGGCATGTGGCAAATACTTGCAATCCCAGTGCTAGGAAGTGGGGACAGGTGGGTCTCTAGAGCTCACTGGCCTGCAGCCTAGCATACTTTGTAAGCTTCAGGTCAGTGAAAGATTGTCTCACAATAAAAGGTGGACAGTACCTGAGAATCAAAACCTATGGTTCTCCTCTGCCCTCCACGTCATGTATATGTACACACATGCATGCACACCTGTACACACGAACATTCACATAGACACACACACACACGCACACACACACACACAAAATCAAGCAAGAGAGGCTTGAAACTTTTAGATTCAATGCACAATCTCCCCAACCTTGGGGAAGGTGGGACTGGAGATCAAGCTCAACTAGATTATCACTAACACAATCAAACCCCAATAAAACTCTCCATACCCAAAATTTAAAGAGCTTCCTTACTGGTAAAGATGCCGGTGTTCAAGGAGAGTAATATGCCCTGACTCTATGGGGAGAACATAAAAGCTCTGCCAGGACCGTTATAGTACTTGTCTTTTGTGTATCCTTTCATTACTGAATCAGAGGAGAATATAAGAACCCTGAGTGTAATCAGTTGGTCAAGTGTTATGAGTGGGGCTGAAGAGATGGCTCAGTGACTAAAGGCCTTGATACCAAGCCACGTAGGTACACTGTGACATACACACCCACACACCAAAAAATTTAAAAATAAAACAAATGTAATAAAAAAATTTTCAAATGTGGGCAATTGTCAAGACTTGCAACTGATGGCTTAAAGTAATGGCAGTCTTGTGGACTCTTTTTAACTTGTTAGAGCTGGTGCTAATCTGGGTACCTAGTGCTAGAAATTAAGTAAATTTCAGGATACTTAATGGGTAGTCTCTCATCAAAGCAAAGAAGAGGCTTCTAGAAGCCAGGTCTAGTATCACCCAGAAAGACTGCAGTGATCAATCACCAATTTGTCATGAGAATGTGGTCACACAGGAGTATCAAGACTGCTGGCATAGTTTTCACTCCTCTATGTCATCAATAAAATCTTCTTGACAAAAATGAACAATCTCACCCAATGGTAATAAATTATTTCTACATACCTGGTAGGCATCTTTTCAAAATCAATATCTAAAAATTGCTCGTAACTTGAAACAAAATTGTCCAACCATAGTCTCAGGTAATCTGGATCTTTCTGAAATAAGAAGAGCATTACAATATTAAGTTTGTCAAAAAAATAATGCTTCCATACCTAAGTAACTATCTAAAGTAGGAACAACAGTCATTCATGGGGTCATATACCCATAATCTAAACACTTGAAAGACTGAAGCGGAGGAATCACAAGACTGAAGTTACTCTGAGCTATATCACAAGACACCATCTCAAGAAAAAAAAAAAAGTAAACAACACGAAATGTCTAAGTGATATTCATAAATGTGTATAGTATACAGGTGAAGGGATGCATACCTATAATCCCAGCTACTTAAAAGACTGAAAGAGACGATCATAAATTCAAGACCAGCCTGGAAACAGCAAAACCCTATATCTCAACCTTACGTTGTAGGTACACTGGCCTCCTGGCTGTTTCTGTACATACCAGGTGTGTTCCCACTATAAAGCCTTTATACTAGTTGTCTTCTCTACCCAGAAAATTATTCTTCCAGACACTTGAAAGGCTAACTCCTTCATCTTATTCATGTCATTCCTTAAATGACATTTATCATTGAGGTAAACTTTGTCACTGCCCTTAACCTTACCCTATTGTTTCCCAACCCCATGGAAATAAAGATTTATTAGCAAGGAAACAAAAATCATGAACTAGGAAAGAAAACTGGTGTTAATTAGAATTAAGGGCTAGTATAGTTCAGTGGTAGTGTTTGTATACCATGCACAAGATCCTGGATTCAATCCAGAGAAGAGAAACAATTAAGAACCTCTATTCATCAAAAGGCTCCAGGACTGTAGATGTGCTTGCCTGGCATGAATGACACACTAGGTGGACAAGAAGAAGGGAGAGGTGCAGAAGACAAAATGTGCTCAATATTATTAGTTATCTAAAGAATGCAAAAGGTAGGCATGGTGGCATATGCCTTTAATCCCAGCACTCAGGAGGCAGAGGCAAGTGAATCTCTGTAAATTCCAGGCCAACCTCAGCTATATATCGAGTTCAAGGCCAGCTGGGCCTCCCTAGTGAGACCCTAACTCAAAACACCAAAAAAAAAAAAAAAAGTAAATTAAAACCAAATGTGATACCATTACGTACACACCTGCTAGAAGAGCAAAAATTTTGTTGATGGCATCACGTTAGTGAAAATAAAAAATAATTAATATATTATTAGTGGTAAGATAAAATACTATATAATTTGGAATACAGTCTGGCAGGTTTTTTTTTTCATTACATACAAATATATGATACTTCCCAGCTCTTCCTCTTCCATAGAAAGAAAACATATATGCACAAAAACACCTACACAAAAAAATTTCTCAGACATTTTATTTTTAATACTGCAAAGTATGAAACAATAAAAAATTCTACCAACAGGTTAAAAAATAAATTAGCTGGGCATGGTGACACACTCCTTTAATCCCAGCACTTGGGTGGCAGAAGCAGGCGGATCTCTGTGAGTTCAAGATCAGCCTGGTCTAAAAAGTGAGTTCCAGGCCACCTGGGGTTACATAGAGACCCTGTGTCAGAAAAAAAAAAAAAAAAGCACACTTAAACAACAGATTACTATTCAGGAAAAAAAAATTAGTCAACTGTGCAAAAGATATCAGGTATGAAAGCATGCTTACTGTATGATTTAATTTATGACATTCAGGAACAGGCTATTGTGACGGGAATTAGATCAATGGCTGCCTTTGGGAGAACTAACTACAAAAAGGTACATAGGTTCATTTCTTAGGTGATGGAAATTTTCCATTTTCTGATTGGTAATGGTCACACAAATGTGCATGTGTAACAAAATCATCACCTTTGAAAGTTTTTGGGGTTTTTGTGGGGTTTTTGTGGTTTTTCTTGGGGATGGAGATTAACAGGGTCTCCCTTGTGCCTCAGCTTACCTGGAACTCTCTATGTAGACCAGGCTGGCCTTGATCTCACAGACTGCCTCTGTCTCCTGAATGCTGGGATTAAAGGCGTGCACCACTATGCCCAGCCACCTTTGACACTTTAAAATTGTACATTTTATGACCTGAAATACATCTCAATAAAGCTAAGCTGAAAAGAAAACTATGCTTCTGAATTTTTTAACATAAACTATCTCTTTAAAATGCTGCTCACTTTTTTCCTTTTGTCTCCTCAATACTGTTTTGGGGTGGGGGGCAGGGGGGGAGACCTGCTTTTTTTTTTAAAGTTTGTATCATACAGTATACTTGTATATCATGACCTTGTAAAATGTGGATAATATACTCTGTAAAATTGTATACAATCAAACATAAAATGTTATAATTTCTTACAAATGAGTAATTAGGTTTGAGACATGATTGTGGGACTGATAGGCATGCTACAGTTATTCTACAGGCAAAATGAGGCTTCTTTTGCCTCAGAGCAAGCTGTACTCAGATTAAGGCCGCAGTTCCTGAGCAAAAACTTTCACTAGAAAGAATTAAACCATAACAAGTCATCATTCAGCCTGTCTTAAGGTGTCATGACAATAATGTAGAGAATTCACACTTTAATGAGTGGGCCCAGACCATCCAGAGTCTGACGCCTGGTGACTTAGGACATCTTACACAGATAGCCAGTCCCAAGAAAAGACAAACTTAAAATGTATTCCTCAGCATAATAGCGAGATATCTTTCTGGTCATCCAGACATGTACCTCACACAGGTGCATATGTCCATAGCCACTTTTCTTTTAACTACTATAGAGAGCTTACTCTCCCTCCCAGGCACAATCTCCTCTCTAAATTCTTCCAGACACTGTCATGCATGGGTGGGTGATTTTGTTTTCATGTTTCTGTCTCTAATTTTTTTAAGAAATATGACTATATTATTTTTACAGTTAGAAAGAGCCAATTATAAACAAAGACATAAGTAAGCAACTGTATTTCATACAACTCCATCTTGATCCCATAAATTCTGGTCTACTTTAAGGAAAAAAAGGGGAGTGATTCTGATATAGCCATCTCTTTTATGATTCTAAGGCTGAAAAATGTTTACTAAGCTTAACTACTGAAAGTTAATGAGTTTTTAAGCAGCAGTGTAAACAGGTAAAGCATGTTCTAACAGTAGCCTTGATGTACAGCAAGACAGGTAACAGCATTTGAACCAGAAGCACCATGTTTAAGGAGCTTGCCTGCCTGTCTCCATCTTGTTTCACTCTTCCTGACTACCCGCCCTCCTCTTTTCTTGTCTCTGTCACTGTGACCTCTTTGCTTCTCTAAGCTCTTCATTTCCCTTTTTCTGCTTTGCAGTCAGTACTACTAGATGCCTATCTGACCCCACTGCCTTCTTCCTCCCAGAATCCCAGTGGTTACCAGGGTCCCAGGCCTGGGCTCTCAATACTTCTTTACTGCAGTTAAATTTAACATGTGATTCCAGTGTCCGATTACTTTGTCATGAAACATCACCACTTAAGCACTGACCTAAGACAAAGGGATCTCAAACAACTTGTTTCCCTAAAATAAAAGCATTACGCTATAATCCAGAATCTAAAAGAATGTTCCCAGAACACATAGGGAGTGCTGACCTTTTGAGTATTTGTTTTGCTATTTTAATATTATTCTAAAACCAGCTAGTAAATTGCCACTATCTACAATATCACAAGAGAAATCAGAAGACAGAAATATTTCAGACAAAAATACATCTGTGAGAAATTGAGTTTTATCATTTGCTTTTTCAAATTAGAATGTCATTCACTTATTTATTCATTCATTCATGCATTAAAGATAGAACTCCAGAAATACAAGTACCTAGAGTTCTCTTTACTAATTTTTTTCCTAACAAAGCAGAGGATTACTTCTAGGCAAGTTAGACACAAAATAGCAACACAACACTATAAAAACTTAATGCATTCCTCTTTATATTTTATTTAGCAACTCTATAGTAGCTGGTTCAAATTCTATACCAACATTCTACTACTTACCTATATTCTAAGTCCTCTTGTTCAGTTTCTAAAGGTTAGTACTACCAAGTACCTGGGAAGCACAGACTTCTCTTAGTAAATTTTCATTTACTAAGAAACAAAGCATGATGTTTAAAGTATCTACCATGTAACTGGTACAGCAGGCATTAACAACTGATTATCTCATTTACACCTTGCAACCACCCAGAAAAAGCTTATTTTTCCTCATTTTACAGACCATAAAAGGATATATAACTTACCTAGGGTCATATATTAATAATTTATAGCGCTGTGATTAAAATACAAATGAATTCAATATGTGCCCATTTTACCATACTACACTATGCGAACTGTACACAGTAGGAAAAAAATAGTAATTTCATAGGCAAAAAAGGAAAGGAAGTTTAGTCAGGATTAGTCAAGGCTATAAAGAGGTGAAATACATAAAATAGTCATATCCCACACAATCTGGAAGAAACATACAGGAAATATACTTTGCTGCCAAAGGCCATAAAAAGAAAGATCTCTACATAATCAGAAACAAAAGTAAATCATTTATCTTCAGCATAGAACCCTAAGTATGATTACTTGAAGTTCTCTTTATCAGACTCTTTCTAATAAAGCAGAGGATTACCTCATAGTTACTTCACGGTGAAGACAAGTTTAGTGCACAAAAACACCACAGCATGATCTATTTCCCTATTTGTACAACATTTACTAACGCAACACACAAATATACTGAGTAGTGCAAGAGTGCTGGGGCCAATTCAATTTTACCCAGACTTGAATCTCTGCTGTCTGCTTCTTCACCAAGTCACCCTGTATTTGCACATGAGTTTCTTCCTGTACGAATGAAACATACGCTGGGTGTGGTGCTACAGCAGGATCAAGACGTCATGGCAAGCCTGAACCTTGTCTCAAAAAAGTGAAGAGAGAGGGAAGCAGGAGGTAAGTGGGAAGTGAGGATCCAAGACAACACCGCAGGAAATGAGGGGAGATAAAAGCAGAGAATGTCTGGTAACTGAAATAAACCCGATCCAAAGCAGGGGGAAGGGGGAATGAAAGGTGGGCCAGGGAGGAGACTCAGCAAGCAAAGGGACATGCTGCCAAGCCTGACAACCTGAGTTCC